GCGACGACAAAGATCGTTAACGGCGACACGCTGCTCAAGTCGTGCTTCGACAAGGAAGTGCTGCGCTTGTTGAAGCTTTAAGATAAGCCTTTGGTAAAGCACAGTAGCTATCTCTTTCTTTCCTACTGCTTATTTGGCTTGGTCATGCTGGAGTTGCCAGGCTCGTGCTTGTCGATTGAGCGGCGCTCAAGCTTGCATATGTAAATGGCTTCGTCGAAGTATTCAATGACATCACCACAGGTTTTGGTCGTGCGTGTACTTGACGTTTTGCTGGAATCGTTGCAATAGACTTCAATTTCAAAGTGCTCGGAAATCGATTCAAAGAAGAGTTTCTCATTTCTGCGAGTGCAGCCACGATCAGTTCGGAAAAACAAGCAATGCGGATGACTGTGGGAAAAACTCACTCGGGTATGCGCTGCTTAAAGGCAAGCAACACGATGGGGAGGTGTTGAGACGCAGGATCGCGCTCAGAAATGTCTGTGAGTTCTTGCAGCGTCGACATTAGCGCCGAGTGCGATGCCGACTCGTATAAGCAGTCGGAAGCCACTACAACATCGACACGACGACTCGCAATGTTGTCGTCCAGAGGCTCACCCCTACGGAGTCAAATTTACAGGTGAGGTGCAAGTGAGAACGACAAGAGGTTGCGTGCAAGCTGAAATCGCACCAACGCAATGGCTGGACATTAAGGCGATTGCTGGCAATCAAAGTGGCTATCGACTCGTGATGTCGCGCAGCGAATCGAGCATTGTCTCGAGTCAAGGGCACAACGCTCTCAAGATCTGTAAACAGGAGTGAGGATACTTCGCATGTGCTGGCGAGAGCCAACCCCACCGCGCCTGGGCCTGCACCTAGCTCCAGTACATGGCGTTGCGTCACGAGATGCGGCTCGGCTTCGAAGAACAACACCATCGCTCGCGCCTAAACAGCCCGAGAGAGTGTCAGATGGAGATCACCACCACGTACACGATCGAGACTTATTGCAAAAGCGCACACAATTCCAGACGACACCAGCGATGCCATA